ATAAAGCATTTTAAGGTTTTATATAAGATTGAATGAAGAGATGTAAGAGGAATTGTTAGCCTCTGTCTACTTGCTCATTATTACTACTTTTCATTTCTCCCAAGAAACTCAAGATCCACCTCCCACCTCTGACTAGCAACATTATATTTAACACCAGGGACTTTTAATAAAAAAATAATAAAAACAAAACAAAGACTCTTCAGACTACACAGTAGTAGAATGGGTGTAATCAATTGGTGAAATATTATGAAGAACAAGACACAGGAATGTATGCACATACACATAACAGCAAATTTCATGGTTCAACGAAGTTTTCATTTGAGACCTCTGAAAGATTTGTGACTTCAAAAATGTCTTTTCATCCACAATGTTGGTAGACAATAGACGGTGTTGTGAGTGGACCTGTGGCAAAGTCTACAAAAGCAGAGACAGGGTGAGAGTAGAGATGCACAATTACCATGACAACTGCAAAGTCTCATCAGGTTGTCGTGACCAATAGTAATAGTTTCCTCCAATAATCATGTTCCCCAAAGTACTGGAGTGTGGAACCAAAGGACCCAAATCAGTTCTGAGGGTGTATTCTGTCCTCTCATGTACCCCCACCAAAAACATTGCATTCTATTGGAGGAGAAGGTGCCTCATATTTTACCAATTCAGGATCAGTCATGAAAAGAGCTGGTAGCAGTCAGTGCTCCTGTAATTTACCAACATGCAAAGAGGGAACTGAAAAGTCCACTCTCCCTAGACAAGACAAAGCCAATAAAAGCCAGTATAGGTGGTTTTGGGGTGTCTGCACACCATCCATGTTAGCATCATCTTCATATTGTCTGCTCCTGCTCTTTTAGTGTTGATTTGGACCAAAAAAGCACGTACTGATCAAAAAAAAAAAAGAAAGAAAGAAAGAAAGAAAAGAAAAGAACAACAATTAAAAAAAATTCAGAAAGGTCATTTAAAATTAACAGTAACATTTATGGAAAGTTTGATGGTGTCAGCTTATTCTCCAAATTTTTAGAAACCAATTCGATGAAAATATAAATCACCTGGCTGTCTTTCAATATAAGAACACATGCTCTGCCCTTTTTGCCCCATCTACTGGGAGAATAAAGACCATTCCCAGCATTCAGACTGTCGACATTCCAGAAAATGTGGACATCACTCTGAAGGGGTGCACAGTCATTGTGAAGAGCCCCAGAGGAACCCTCCTCCGGAGGGACTTCAGCCACATCAATATAGAGCTGAGTCTCCTTGGGAAGAAGAAGCGACTCCGGGTTGACAAATGGTGGTGTAACAGAAAGGAACTGGCCACTGTCGGCACCATCTGCAGTCACGTTCAGAACATGATCAAGGGCGTTACACTGGGCTTCTCCTACAGGATGAGGTCTGTGTGTGCTCACTTCCCCATCAACATTGTTACTCAGGAGAATGGGTCTTTGGTTGAAGTCTGAAATTTCATGGGTGAAAAACACATCCGCAGGGTTTGGATGCAGACAAGCACTGCTTGTTCTGTCTCTCAAGCCCAGAAAGATGAATTAATTCTTGAAGGGAATGATATTGAACTTGTTTCAAATTCAGCGGCTCTGATTCAGCAAGCCACAACAGCTAAAAACAAGGATATGAGAAAGTTTTTGGATGGTGTCTGAAAAGGGAACAGTGTGGCAGGCTGATGAGAAAGTCCTAAGTTACCCAGCTCCAGAAACAAGACCCTGAATTTAAGTACTATTTGGGTTGTCTTTTGGGACAATAAAAGACTTGTATTAAAAAAAAAAAAAAAAAAACACTCATTTCATATCTTTACTTTCAAAGTTCATTGCAAGGCCATGCACCCTAACAACACCCTCTACTGTTTACTACTTTGAAGCTACAAATCATTTTGGCTTCAAATGAAAACATTAATGAAATACAGTGAACTTTAGTGTTAGATGCACGTGTCTGTCCATAACAAACAAAAGTGAAGCAAAATTTCTAGCAATTTGTATTTAACAGTCTCTGTTGAAAAGGGGGTTTTCAAGCAAGGACTCTGGAGGAGAAGGAATTGAGGTAGCCAACCTCTCAGAGGCCTCCGGAGGTCCTCCTGTTACATCCTTGCATCATTCTCCTCCCACCTAGCACCTGCATTGATCAGTGATCAACAGAATAGTCCGGAAGTGAGGAGTTGCCATTTTGGGTGTGGGTCAGAACAGACAATGTGGCTTCCTGTAGCTGAAAGTTTTCCTATGTCACACCTGGTCCACAGCCACTCAGACCTAAGTAAGCACATAGAAGCTTATATTAATTAAAACTGCTCGGCCATTAGCTCAGGCTTACTATTGACTAGCTCTTACACTTAAACTCAGCCCATTTCAGTTAATCTATATATTGCCACATGTTCCATGGCTTTACCTGTGTGGCATTATATGCTGCTCCCTGGATGGTAGGCTGGCATCACTCAGCCTTCCTCTTCCCAAAATTCTCCTTGTCTGCTTATCCCACCTACACCTCCTGCCTGGCTACTGGTCAAACAGCATTTTATTAAACCAATGTACAAAAGCATTATCTCACAGCAGCTTCCATTTTTTCAAATGACTCCTCCACTACCCTCCACACACCCACACTTCTTACCTTCTCATCATCTGATTTGAGGAAAGCCAGGTGGTAAGCAATGCTACCAAAAAGTCCAAAGAGGATGAGGAGCCAAAGCCTCAGACTGAGCTCTTGACCTCTGGACTGCCCTACTCTGCTCCAGACCTGGCTCAGCCTCTCAGCCTCCTGACTCTCAGAAATTGTGTGAAATGACTGACATTTGATAGCATTACATTTTGGAACAGTTTATCACTGTAACAACAGATCACTAATACAAGACAGGAAAGAAAATGACTAAGACATGTAAGAGGACCACAGAGGAAAGAATCACTGACCTGTCTTTTCCTTCTCTTGTGAGGTTTTGACTTGAGTCCCACCAATAGTCTGACCTCCCCCATAGTATTTTGACAGTTGACATGACTTTAAGGCAATTAGAAGTCCTTGTTTGGGGTACAACTCTCATCTCGGAAATGTGAATTCCTTGAGAGATTTGAATGAGGGAAAATAAGAGAAGGCACTAAGGCAGAAAGAATGCACACACAGAGCAGACCAGAAAGTCATCCTACTGCAATAAGAAGGATAAGGATGACCGATGATCTAGACTCATCCTAAGTTCAGGGTACCAGATATGGTTATGTCACCCCAGACTCGGCTTTCAGGAGATCTTCATGATTTAAATGTGCAAGTTAAATAAAATGATTGTAAAGTGTTGCTTCTCAGTTAAAACTCTGTGCCTTTGTATGAGTGAAGAAGAAAGCAAGGTCACAATGTAGAAAATTAACAGGCAAAAAATAAATAAACATCCCTCAGTAGCTGAGATAAAATTTATTATCTATTAAGGGAAGAAATGTATCCCCATCTTTAATGGGTTTTGTTTGGTATAAGGGGGGATGGGAAAGGCTATTACTCTTTTCATCTCATTATGGTAATTAGTTTAGTTGTTCTCTGTGCTCAGCCATACAAGGTCCTACAGCGGGAAGATAAGAAGTGTAACTCCAGTTCCTCATGCTCAAGGAAATCTTGATTTCACCGGGAAGCTACATCCCCAAGAAGCAGAGAATATTAGCACACAGTGTGCAATACACTGCCCTAATGCAATACAAAAGGAGGCCATGGTGGGAAAGGACAGGGTGGTGGCACCGTGGAAAACGATAACTCAGTCTTCTGAAATAGAAGTTGAACTCGGAAGGCAGCAGGATTGAAAGTGGATTTTGGGTTAGCGTAGCTTCGCTTTGCCCTTTAGCTTGTAAGAGGTAAAATCACTGTGGAATGAAGGTCAGCTTCCACATCATATTACAAAGGCTGGAAGAGCATCTCCCGAATTGGCAAGCGTTCCAGCTAGTGGCCCTTTACCAGAGTCTACACACACACACACACACACACACACACACACACACACACACACACACTGCTTCACCTTTGTTTTGATTCCATTTCCACTGTTATTCTCGACAGTCCAGCTAACAGTAGCACGTGGTCCCGTTTACTAGTCAGCTCCCATATGCTCTACATTTTTGCTTCACTTAATTCACCGGGTTGCTTTGTACTGTAGATAAAGAAAACTGAGGTCTATGAGCCTTATGTAACTTGTCCTGGGGTTGTGGGATTTATAGCTGTATCTTAAAAGTCTGACTTCCTTTGTGGCAGAGTTCCCACTGTGAGGACAGGAGCCCGTGTTTTCTCCCTTTCCACTGTCTGGATCCATCACCAGGACTGCGGAGCGCAAGAAGCAAGGAACACCACAGACCTAGTCAACACGAGGGTGTGACGAAAGTGTCTCCTGCTCAAACACGTCATACCCCGCTCCAGATGCTCACCTTCAAATGGCAGCCAGAACAGCAGCTCGTGGAGATGGAATAAAGGAAGCGCCTAATTCTAGGAGCTCAGGTAGGATGAGAAACAGCCACCAGCCTCAGATTCCCTCAGCTACAAAGAGAGGTCATGCTGGCACAACTACTCGGGGTCAGGTGATCTCCCCGTTCACTCATGGCCTCCTGGCTCATTACAGGTAAAGATGGAACAGGGACACCACATCTGACTCCTGCAAACCAAGAGGAAGTAAATGGGGTGGCCTTGCGTAATTGGGATTTCCTCTAAAAATGAAACATTTTTCACAATTAAACGCTATCTTTAAAATCCCAGGGCAACGTTCCAAGGGCTTTGATTCACCCAGAAATGATTTGCTTCTCAAAATGTTTCAGTTTCTGGATTTAGCAACTCTGCGCTGTGGTGCAGAAAATAATAATAATAATATCGTTTGAAAAATCCTTGAAGCTGAGGACTCGGAGGAGCCAAGCAGCCAGCTAGCAATGGCTGGATATTCCTTTCCATTTTCTGTTTTGAGGATAGCTGTGTGATGGATATTCAGACAAAAACAGGGCAAAAAAAACCTCACACAAATTCGATATCAGGCTTCAAATCTTTTCCATCTATATAGTGTTTAACAGAGGAAGAAGACGGTGCTAGCATTGGATCATGATAATCTCTGGAAGGAGCTACAGCATTCCTGTGCATCTCGGCCTGTGGAGTGCAGACCCCGGCACACACCACCTCTCCCGGCACACACCACCTCTCCCGGCACACACCAGCTCTCCTGTGCACCTCGGCCTGTGGAGTGCAGGCCCCAGGACATGTCACTTGCACATTAAATGCTGATCATTCTTTTTACTACTAAGGTAAAAATATTCCTTTACTATCTTTTTTCAGCAAAGAAGCAGCCATGTGATTCTGACAAAGTGAAGGAGGAGGAGGAGGAGGAAGTTTCTTCTCACTTGGGGTCAATTGTTAGTTCTGTAGCTGACAGCGAGGTCACTTTACTCATTGGTTCTTATTCCTGCTTCCAGATTGTTTTCAGTCTGTTTCCATTATGACGCTATGTTGGCCAGTGACTAATCAGTTTTTGGGTTTTTTGGTTTGGTTTGGTTTGATTTTTTGTTGTTTTGTCTTATTTTGTCTTGTTTTTTGTTTGTTTGTTTGTTTTTTGTTTTGTTTTGTTTTTCAAAGCATCAAAAGTTTAATGCTTGCAATATCCAATCTGTGGCTCAGTCACAGGACATGGGTATTAGAAAGCGGTCCTTTGAATATTCCTCTCAGTTCACCCATAGCGAGGCCCAGCTATCAGCCACGCTTTAATTCACTCTCCAATCTATCCTCTTCTTCGACCTCCCCGACACTAGTTCGGCTCTCCACTGCTTCTTGGTGTAACAATTGCCACGCCTGCCTGGCTGATCCAGTCTGTCCTTACTAGTGCAGACAAGTACTATTACCAACAGTTCTCCAAAGGGTTGACCACATGTCAGTCCCTTGCTAGAAATCTGCCAATTGGTCTTCTACACATACTCCATGATGAACCCACTATTTAAAACAATGTGGCCTTTAACTGCACATTTAGATTTAGGTCTCAATCTATATCACTTTTTTTCCTTTGAAAAATGGCTTCATGCACGCTAATGTTAGGCGGCTTGTTTGTTCAGTTTAGGAAGGATGGCTTGCCATCCACCTTCTCCTCCTCCATACTCTTCGTAATGGATGCTATTTTAGTTTCAATCCCAGCTTTCTCTTTCATGCTTTTCCAAATCCTTTCCATGAAAACCCCTTACTCTTTTATAATTGTTCTCTTCTGCTTCAAACTCCCATCTCATTTCATTTATTATTATAATATCTACTTCACGTTAATAATCATTTAAATTATGTTTAGAAAAACAGACCACATGGCAATGGCCTGAAATGCAGGCACCATCACACGCTTCTTCTACAGCAGTCAGCACATAAATTCTTATTTGCTTGTTAGCTTGGCTCCTTTTGCCTGTTTGTTTTCTAAGACAGGGTCTCTCTTTATAGTCCAGACTGGCCTCAAACTTGCAATCATCTTCCTCTGGCTTCCCAATCGCTAGAATTCCAGGCATGCCACTAAGCCCATTTCATAAACTCACAATAATAGAAATAACCTGTGTTAGAGTAACTGAAAGTCACAGTAAAAGGTCATCGATGCAGAATTCCCGTGTGATGTTTAGTTCCATAATACAAGCTGCTTGTCATCTTTGTTACCTCTATTCCTAGCTACAAGCACATAATCTGCCAAATAAAAAGCACCAAGAACTAGAAAATACAGTTCAGTGAGTGAATAAATAAAATTTAAACAAAGTAAGATGTTAAGAGTACTTCTGAAATAAATAAGTTGTCTCCGTTTTAAATTTTATGATATGTCTAAATCAGAAAGTTCTAGTTAAGAAAATAATGCTAAGTGGAGCATTCAGAGGAGTTTTTTTTTTTTTTTTTTCTCAAAACTTTATTTACTGCACTAGAAAATCCCAAGCATCTATTGGTGATTCAACAAAGCAGGTCTATTTTGGGACTTCCTAGGCAGTAGAAGCTGGGGTCTCTCAGTAAACAAAGGCATGCATCAGGGGGGCAGTTTCAGAAACCAACACTTGACATCACTTTGCGGAAGGAAGAGGCAGCCTGTCCAGCTGCTCTCCCAAGAAAGAAGACCTCTGAGAATAAGTCGGAGCAAGAATAGAGTGTGCAGCTCTATCAATGCACCGTGCACACACCTTCTGGCACGCTTCCCCACAGCACCTAGTGGAGTGCTCAGCACGGGGAGAGATAAAAATGCTGTTGATTACTTGCCTAGCCCTGTTCTATGTGTCCAAGGAAGGTGGGCAGCCATTGGCCAGGATTCAAAACTGTCTTTCACTGCCTGAAACTGTAGGATTTGCTCCCTGGAGAAACACAGATATTCTTTCCACAACTGCCCAAATTGTACTATGGAGAAGGCACGAGTCGTTTCCTACATTTTGTTCATTTTCTTTCTTCTCATTTACCAAAGTCATTTCCGTTTGAATAAATGTTTATGATGCAGAAGATTATTGGCCATTTCAAAAAGTCCTTCCTTTGGTGAACAGGGTGGCATTCACTTTGGTCATAGCTTTGACATGAACATTTTAAGGCAGAAAATGTTAAGGGGGAAAAAACAGTCACAATGATGTCAGGGTGGAATAGATGAGCAGGTGAAGATTGAGTAATTATTAAGAAGATAAAATATCACTCAGCCTATTGCCCAGGTATCTCTAATATGAGACAAAATTAGCTCTGAAGGTAAACATTTTATATCCTCTTATTCTTCAACTTTTAAAAACTAGTGCAGGTACAAATTGGCAGTTATCCCTGAGATTAATAAATGGTCTTTCTCTAAATCTTCTTCACGCTCTATTCCAAAAAAGTAACTGTTTTAATTTACTCAAAGCAGCAACCAAGAGTTGAGTGTGTTTTTCTGCCTGCCACTTCTCCTTGTCCTGTTGACTCAGACCTGAGGATGTGGTCAGAGCATGATCACAATATTCCTGCAGACCAGGGTTAGCGGGAGCAGGTCAAAGTGGTAGCTGTAAGCACATCCTTAGCTTCACATATTTACTGTGAGGGCTGCGGATGGTGAATGGCGTCCATGAGCTGGGCTACAGCTATCTCTCCCACCCAGCAGCACTGGGCAGACTCTCAGAACTGCTGCCTTTACTCCTGCCCACGGTGCTTACCTGGTTAGGTTCCTTTTCGTTCTTTCAGAAAACAAACACTGAATGGACTGGGAAATATCTTAATTGCAATCTGCCGAATTTTAGACCAGAAAAGACCTCAAAAATCAGAACAAGAAGGCTCTTAACCTCTGTAAATGAGAAGTTAGTCTAAATTACATCAGCTGGGATTTTCATTTTCATATGCTAATATTATGCATTCCTACAAAAGCCGGGCACTTAATATCATGTGAATGTCAATGCAGGTTGAATTATCACTTTTATCAAAACAATCTCCATGCACACTAAGTAATGCAGGTGTTCTGTGAGTCCTGGAAGGGGAAGGATACAGTAATGGAGAAGTTCTATAGCTGTCTCCCTGATGAAGGTGATCCAAGACTTCACAAGGAACACCTCGTATTTGATGAGACCAGTTGCTGCCAACACCCAGCACAGACTGAGCAGACTACAAATCAGAACCAAAAATAAACCATGCATCTAAACAGAGCCCTAGAAAACGCTATACAATTGGGGCTTTCCAAGAACATCTACAGAGACCACTGAGAATTTTGATATGAGATATCTATGAGGTATTTTCTAGCCACCATCACTGTTTTCAGAGGGAGGAGGAAGGAGAGGCTCTCTAGTAGTTCAGACACTAGGTAATATTAACTCATAAGACAGCTTGATTCGTACAAGATGGAAGATTATTAAGAAGTCATATGTAAGCTGCCGGCTATGAATAAGGAAGTATGTAATGTACTGTTCACCTTGGGACCCTTTGGACAGAGATGGGTGACAATGGCCAGATGGAAGACCAAGACAACAGACAAATCTGGGCCTATCCAAAAATATCCAAAAAACAAAGGTCACTCTGGTGACAAGGCCATAGCATCAGAGAAGAAAGGTCAGTGTGGTCCAGGGCAATCTGAGGAAACTTTCCTGTTACGTGAAGTGGGGAGGATTTGGGCTGTATCTGAAGGACAAGTCAAATTGGAATAGCAAAGTTCAGTGTTGCAAGTGAGACTGAGGAACGGGGTTTCCCATTGTGGTTGTAGATGGAGAGAGACAGCAAGACTTGGCGGCAGCAGCACAAAGATCAAATACCTGTGTTGGAGACGGTCAAACAAGGTGCACTTTGTGTGAACCAACTCATTTCAAATGGCTGCTGAGAGCCAATTTCTGTTCTCAGCAGACACTCGGCAATGTTGTCCATGGACACAGGCAAGGAACGTAACACCTCAGTGCCATTTAAAATGATCTTTTAGTTGGGTACAACTTGGAGTGGTGTTAGGGTTTAAAACCTTGGTAAGGGTGGCCTAAAGTTTTTAAATTGTTGGCTTTTCTCTGATTTTTGAAAGCAACATCCAGTCAATGGTAGACTTTAGTAGTGAAGGAAGGAAACTAGTCAGAAAAGCCTATCCAAAATGACTCATATTACATCAGAAAAGTTTAACTCAATACTAGAACTTTCTTAGAAAGACAAAAAGTTGTTGTGAGAAAGGGCATAGACTGGCATAGGATGTTAAAATATTAATATTGGTAAACATTCATTTGTTTAGATTTAATATAAAGCTTAGAAAATAGATTGTAGAAATAGGCAGGAAGCTGTGCCCCTAAGGTAAAATGCAGTTTTATAGTTATGAAAATTTAATTTGACTGCTTTCTCAATAATTGCTCATATTTGTAGCAGCAGCATGCTAGCAAGATAACGGTCAATCAAACAGACATCACCCTGTAAATGTTCTTAAAAAGCCTGTACTCTTTCTCCTGATGGGAAAATGGCATTGCTTCCAGGTCTTAAAAGATGCCCAACTGAAAAGCAGAATAAGAAACTTGACAGTAGGACATCTTTATATCTTCCCATTTGCCTCTCTTTCTCAAATGAAGTTCCTTGTGGGAGCTGGAACTATTTTTTTTTTTTTTTTTTTTTG